CCGTGGACCTTTTTATAGGCCTTTCTGGGAACCTTTACGGTCAGTGGAAGTGACATTATAAAACAAAAAAAATTGTCATTATTATTGTATTATTATACACATCAGAACAAATAAAAAGACCATATTCATGTAAACAAGATAAATACCGTATATAGTTTATAACAAATTGCATAAAAACGAGTACAACTGAATTATTCAGGCATATTTTTTTTTCTAATTCTTATAATTATGTAGTCTTTAAAATATTTAAAGGTACTTCTGATGGATTTAAGAGAAAGATCATAAAAAGAAGTTGGATTATTTACGTAAACAACAGGCTAGCATGAGCTAACATGGTTTACTTTTTGTATTAGTAGTATTGATCATATATTTGTATACAAATTGATTTATGTTGTGGGTATAAAAACAAAAAAAGAGCCACTGCAGAGGGACCAAAGAGCCGCCTGTGGCCCCAGAGCCGCAGGTTGCAGACCCCTGGTTATTCCACCCTGATCAAAACCATCAATCAGTTTATTGGTTTCCACAAACTCTTTGGTATTTAGGGTTTAGATGAAGGGATTGAACCATCAACCCTTCAWTCAGCAGACAACTTCTCTTCCTCTTGGACACATGCACTCTCGGTGCTTTTGGTTATTTAATATCCTTTTCCTTCATTTGATAGCCTCGAGTCCACATTTTCCTCCTTTCCCTTGTGACATTTTCTTGCGCAGCAGCTTGTTGAGTGAAGGACTGTGACCTTCTGCCACGAAAACAAAACATTTCTGTCTTTTATTGAACAGATAAACTGCTCTGACAGAAATGTGTTGAAGACGGACGTCTCTGAGGTCTGTTCTCAGGAGGACTTTTAGATGCTGGTGTTGAATTCTGCTGTGTGCGCCTCTAATTGAGTCGTTGCGACACACAAACTGACTGATGGTCAACTTCGGTTTCTTCAGTCTCCCTCGAAAATCTCAGAGGACAAAAACAAGCTGCCGGCRCGCAGCGGCTGCCAAAAAGCAACGCAGACTCACACAGGGATCGCGTTGCAAAGCGGACGCCAAGAAACGTCTCCCAGAGCACGTGTCCTGCAGCCGCACGTGGGCGGGAGACATGACGGTTTCATTCAGGCTCATTTTGTCCTGCAAGTTCAACGAAAAGAACGGCTGGGTGTCCAACCTGGGCTCAAACCTGCAGCTTTAGGGCTGTGAGACCGCAGCACTGACCACCAGGGGCGCCTGCAGAATTTCTTTTCAGAGGGGGCCAGGGGGGGAGGGGGGCACTGAAAAACCAGGGGTGGCACACCAAAACTAATATCTATAACAGAAAATTTACGTGTTTGTAAAAATGAAAATTTGAAAACTATTGCCAACAGATGTTCAGTTTGTAATTTCACAGATAATATCACTGATTTTA